GTTTATAGCACACTGACTATCGCGAACTAATAATATATACTCTCTTTGGTGCATCGCGTTGGTTATATTTACAGCCATGTGGAAGCATTCTAGAAATTTCAGTCTTGCGTAACAATACTGAGCTACATTTAAACGTTTACATATATACATATATTGTTGATTCTTACTCTGAAGAATTTTCTACAACTTTGGAGAAGAGGCGGGAGTTTTGCAATAAATATTTAACAGTATAAGCTATGCACGTTTTAAAATATAAACTTAATGTAAACAAACGATGATATTAAAATAAATATATAATATCAAATTTGTTACAAAACATAACTGAAAACCAGCCATACTGTTTGGCACAATATAGTGTATTCCTCAATTTAATAAATAAAAGGACAAGTTAAAAACATTTGTGTAAATAACATTAATAACTTTTTTACTAACAAACAAGACAAAATTAAATTTAAAACACATAAGATTAAAAGGATTTTGTTAAAAATAAATAATTAAAAACCAGCAATACTGTTTGGCACAATGTAGTGTATTCCTCAATAGCTACTGTTGTGAATCTTTGTAAGTGATTAAATACATTTATGGTAGTTACACATGATTTTTGTCTCCTTGGGTATGCCATAACTTGTGAAAATACATTGAAATTTTTTACTGTATTTGGCTAAAACTTTACTATTTGTCAAGTCTGGAATGTGATCTCATGGAGGGATTACTAAGATTTATAACTTACTGTAAAGGTCTTCAGTGATTGTTTGACATGATTATCTGGGTTACCGTACAGAAATCTAAAGTTTCATAATTTTTTATTAAAATTGTAAAAACATGGTACAAAATATTTAACATTTTAACAGAAATAATATGTAATTTGTTATCACTTCAAAATTAGAAACAGCTAGTGCAGATAGCCCTCTAGTAGCTTTGTGTGAAACTCGTAAACTGAAGAAATTTCCTTAAAGTTTTAATGATGTTTTGTTGTAATATAACTGTAAAAAGAATAATTTCATAAATTACAATTCTTTTAATTCATACATATAATTATGCCATCTCACTTGAATTTAAGTAAAATACTTCTTTTGGCTTATGTTTTAAGTATATTTCACAGTATTGTATGTCTGTATAAATAGATATATGAGCTTATTCAGGTACAGTATGTGAAAAGGTTGAAGCTTCTCACCAGATGGATTTTTTTGTAGCTTGTTTAGTGCTTTTTTTTTCTTATGTTACTTTAAAATTGAAGAACAGGAAAACCTTTAAAATCTAAGCTCAACTTTTTTTATTTGTGTAGATTTGGGAAGCATACAAAGCTTACATTCCAATTTTTATATATATTGTTCATTACATAATTGTACAGTGTTTACAACCTGTCATAATTTTTGTGAAATTGTTTCAATAAATCAGTGTTACATAATTATAAACATCGTGTTATACCATAAATTTAATGAAAAGTTAACTACAAAAAGAAACTATGATTATTTATGCCATTTTTGCCAAAGCAATTATTTTGTATAGTCTTCAGATGCTTTTAAAGGTAACTTATAAACAGTGTTTAAGTGTTCACATCACAAACATATACTTGCTCTTTCATTCTAGAGAGATATGTTTGGAGGTTTGGGAAAGTCAAAAAAAGAAAGAGGGAAATATCCCCAGTCTGTTAATCCTCGACCCCAGTCTGAGGATTTTAGTGATCACTTAGATGCTGCTGAACATATGCTGGTCACCTTAACAGATGAAGAGATAAACAATGAATTTGAAAAGATGTTGGTAAGTGTTGTGAACCATGAAGGTATGATACATTACATCATCATTCCTTAGAGCTTCAAGTTCCATTGTACTAAAATTCAATACCTGCTAACTCTAAGTACTTCTTTGTACTTTACTCTCATGCATTGATAGTATGATGTGATAGATTTATCAGATTGTCTATATTTAACAATGTATTTAGAACCCTTTATGTTAATAGATGACCAATTAATTTTTACACTTTAATTCGGTAATAAGACCATCTTGGGACTTTCAGAGCCCCCATTTTACCATGTGTTTAAATAGTTTTATTGGTTTCTAAATTTTTTTTTCTTTTCCTTTTATTTCACGATTTATTTTTTACTGAGGGGGAGATATTTATGTATATGAAGGCAAGCAAAACAAAAAAGTGCATGTTGCATTAAAAAAAGTGTTAGAGGAGTAGGTAACCATTCAATTATACACCAAAACATAAAATAAGAACAATACTATGACATATAACTCTAGTATATTATTTTTCTGGTGATGTTGCATTATATCCATATTAAAGAAGGAATGAAAGCCACAGCCAACCTGACTTTCTCCTGACTTGAGTTGCATTCTCAACAAACAGCTACATCAGATTTTTAACAAAATCTGTAAAGTCATCTTATAGTTGTTGCCATGGGTAATATAATCACAGTTGTTATTGCAGTTGATTTCATGCACTCCCTTGAACAAAAACTTTTAACATGCATGATGATACAGATAGTTCTTACTCCTGCATATTAGTTCAGGTACACTGACAGTATCTTTGATGTCTGGAAACACAACCTTGATCTGTTGTTAAGCTTTTATAAATTTATATAGTAACAAGAGATCTGAGTATAAATTTCACCCTTGGCACATATGCTTTTACTGTTGAACTCCCTTTATAACATTAAAAAAACAGCCATATTACATTATAACCTTCATCATTCACTACATTTAAAAAGTTTTGTACTGGTCAAGTTTATTGGAATGTGGCATTAGGCTCCTTGCCATAAAAAAAAAAATATACACACATTACTACATGAAAATGGCTACCTGATAGTCTTCATAGAAACAACCATGATAACTCCCCAAAGTGGCTCTACCTCAGTCCTGAAAAGTAAGGTTGTCACCTCCACCAGATAAACACAGTCTTCTTTTTCCAGAAATTTTTTTTACTATTCATATATTGTACAAAGTCTACAATTTTTTGGGCAGGAAGTATAAAAAAAAACAATATTGATAAGAGATAAAGATGTAAAATATATTGCAATTTTTGTTTTTGTATCAGATGTTAAAACTTCAGGGAATTTTTAATATAAGATTAACAATACAACTCCATTCATCCAGTATCTAACTTTTTACAATGTATTTGAATGTCAGTATATTTAGAAACTATTGTGATCCCACAAATAACTTCCTGACATTTTAGTAATGTATATCAATTTATCTTGCACCAAAGTAGATTAACATTGTTAAACACTTACATTATTTTCTCTTTATTCAAAAGTATTTCAGTTTTATCTATAACACTGGTCATTTATACTGCTCCTGAAGAGAGTTAGAAGCTTAAATTTTCAGCATAAAATGCAGTAACAAATTTTTCTGGGATTATTGTTTTAATAGGAGTTTCATCATGCTTCTAAGAATAATGAAAAAAAAAAATGAAGCTACTATGATGACTACATTTTTTACAAGCCAAATAGTCTTGTTTCAGTCCTGTATGGGGAAGTAATGGGTTTATATTTTTTAATAAATACTTTTAACAGGTAAAATTCATTATATTCTCTTTAATTAATTGCCAAATGATACAAGTTACCTTAAAGTAGAGCTGAGCAATTATTGCAATTTGATAATTTATTAATCATCGGGCTTATTAATTGATTACATTCAACTAACTGATTATCGTCATGAGACTTGAATAAGTGAAATAACCAAAAATAGCAATAACCCTGAATACTAATTTCATTTGGTTGATTGTTTTCATGAGTCATGACACTAATTGAGATGAACAATCTTGAATTAATAAAAAATAATAAATTATAATGGCAATATTTTGATTATTTGGATAGTTCTGTTAGTTGATTATTTTTGTGGCATTAAGCAATTTAATCATAATTTCTATTAAACATTTATTTTATGTGACACTAATCAATGTTTATTGGTAATCAAGTTGTTGCCCAGTTCTACACAAAAAAGCACTACTTCACTGAAAACTGGAACTAACTATGTGGGGTATCTGCATATACTCAAGGTGGAATGATTATGCATTAATATCTGGACACATTTGCCTGTAAATTTGTTAATCACCTGCATAGGCATGTCCAGTAGTGGGACACCTAATAGATGCTGATGTATTAGGTAACTTTCTTTACATTTCGGTAATAATTGCCATTCACAAAGAATAAACCCTGTTACTTACTTAGAATAATTGCTTTGAAAAAAGTGTTTGGTGATTACTGACTGAAAGTATATTTTGAATTTCTTCATGCAGTTTATTTATACCGTTTATTTTTGTCGAACATTATTTACATAAATTTGTATACAGCAAAATTAAGAAATTAAAACATTGTGTATTATCAGTTATAAGAGGATGCATTGGGAAATTAATGAGATAGTTGTACATGTAGAGAAACCTGTAATATCTAATAAGCCTTATGCTTTTATTCATTGCTTACATTTTACTTTCTGGAAAGAAAAACCACACTGTGATGTTTCTTCTGAATTAAGATGAATTATGGCTATTTTTGGCCAAATCTGACACATCAAAATTATCAATTATTTTTTAAACATAGTTAAAAAAAAATAATAGGAGCATAGTTTCACAGTGAATGGTAATTACAAAAACTATTTTAATGATAATTAGTAAATCATGACTTACTTTCAATAACATAACACTTTCTTGAATCTTTTAATTTGCCTTAGTACCTCATAACAGTTTTATCACAGAAAGTTCATTGTGTCATACACAAAAAATAACAAATGATTCACTTTACTTTACACAATCACAGTAAAAGAAATGTTTTCTACAACATACTAAACATTTTGTAAATTATGGTTATGGTTTTACTGCATTATTCAACAAATAATATCCTGCTGTTAGACTATATTAAAATATTTTAATTGAAAAGGGAGATGTATATTACTACATACAAAATTTATCATTGCAATGTTTAAAACAATTTTTTTAGTGATAATGAAAAAGACTAAGCTTCTTACAAAAATCCAAAATTATTGTACCTGAGACTGTGTAATGCAAAAATTGTAGCCATTAGTCAAAAGTTTACCTCTCAAGGAGAAAACACTAAATAAAAACGAATGTATTATTGTACTCATTGTTAAAGTATGCTAGTATAGATTTTATACATAAAAATTTACAGTTATTGTTGTATAAAGTAGGCCTAGTACATTATATTGTAAGTTCCAGAGATTTTGTTGTGTGAAACTTGCCTGTAAATGAACATAAACACCAAACCTGACATAATTACAAGTACAAAAAATTACTATCTGACACAGTTGGAGTACAGTGACCTTAAGAGAATGGATGTTTTATTTGTATAGAAAATCTTGTGCTGAAGTAAGAATTAGCAACCAAATATGTCTGTTTTTGATAACCTGTTATTGTAGTTTTCCTGACATGTGGTTTCACCAAAGGACAACAGCTATAGTATTTTAATTTTCTTTGCTACCTTTTAAAGTGGTATATAAACTGAGATAAGAAATGTGTGTGAATATTTAAATGTGTAATCATGGCATGACCATTAGGTATACACTTAAGCTTATATGATGCGTTTTATATGTAGCCCATAACTTCTTAGTACAATTTCTATTTCTTTCTTGAGAAATTGATGTAAAATGACATCAAGAAAGATTGTTTGCCCAAGTAGGTTCTTGTCTCAATTTTGCATATAATGCTGCCCTGATAGTATTATAACCAGAGCATCATTTAATGTAAGTATTCTGTGGTTTTATTTAAAAATATAGGTGAATTTCAACTGACTTCTTGGTTTTTCAGGTGTTCTATACACAATGTTAAACTGCATTTAAAAAACACAAGGGAGTACAAAACATAACTTGCATTTATTGTGATATCACAACTTCAATATATTTTTTAATTTGTGTGATTTCTAACTTGGCCTACTTTTATGTATTGTGTTTTATCACTGTTATAATTATCATTGAACAGAGTGGTAATGATTAAGTTATGTGATAGTTTGTTGCAGCATATTATTTGATAGAGTTAAAATGATACATAAGTATCCTGTTTGAAGTATAGTCACATGTATTTTTACAATCAAAAAATATGAACCAGTAGCAACCAAATATAAGAGATTATATGTTTGTAATCTATCATTTGTGTAAATACACCAGAAAAGTTAATTGGCTTTCTTGTAATACTATCTGCTTGTTAGTTATATTAATTATACAATTTTTATATTAAATATTGCTGGTTATAAAACATTAATCAAAAGAGCATTTAATTGTAGTATCAGAATGAATGAATTTGTTGAAAGTTAATATTTTTTTGGTTTTGAGTAATTTAACCAAATATCAGTATCTGGTATTGTTTATGAATGTCTGATCAAAACCTGTTATTTTCACATACATGTGCACAAATTATATATTAGTATAACTATGTTAGTATTGGTGTGTGATATTACTACATATAATACCCATATTGCAATACAAACCACATCATACAATCTAAAAGGTTGAAAGTTCTTTTACAATCTCTTTTCCAGTTCTCCCACTTTTCTGTACTTACTGGTGAACACATATGAGATTTGCTTAGGAGCTTTTTCAAGATTTATATTTATACATTTAATTCCTTGTATGTACAAGCACACTCATACAACTACTTTTTAAATTTTTTTCACTGTCAAAATTTTCTGTTCATAAACTGGAAAAATTTATTATTTATTCACTCACTTACTGCATTATAAGAGATTATAAATTTCTTCTTTAAAGCTTCAGGTTCACTTCAGAAAGTGAAAAATTTATCTCTTTAGGTATACAAATAGAAAATATAACAGCTTGAAGCCAATGGACTTAATTGTTTTTTTATTGAGCAATCTCGCGTGCCACTGAACTTCATTGTTGTTTATTTCCATAATGCAATAAAAAAGAGCATTATTTTAAACCTGAAAGTTTGTGTTCACCAATCTGAACTGCTAAGTATAAGCATCAGTATTTGTTATAGTAATAGATCTTATTGGAAAGGTTTGGCATAATGCATACATATCGTAGGGAAGTTTTAGAACAGTAAGTTTGTTGTAAGTTGTAAGATTATGAGTAATACAAGTTAAGATCCAGCTCTATTAATTCTATGTTAAATTTATATTAATCATCTGTTTGTATAGCTACTATCTTAAACTTGTCTGACATTTTCTTCAAAGGATGACATGAACCTTTCAGAGGAGAAGAAAGAACCTCTTCGTAGTCGACCAATGATGATAAAAAAAGAAATGCTTTCCATGCATCTAAAAGGAAATCCCCCTGTAAGTGAAATGTTAAAGAAAATGGAACCTTTGTATCATTTTTAGTATTTTAATACTGTAATTTCATACATTCACATGTGCATATATTTTATTTAGTTACTCTTTTTCCCCTTTTGAAAAATGTAAGAATTTCTTACTCCAAAGTATTTTAACTGTTATATATATATAAATAATATTTTTTGGTGTCTTTCTTATACATGATCTTTTCCATTCTTTCACATTTAGTGTATAAATCCTGATTAGAAAACTATTAAATTGTTTTATGATTCATAGAACTTGACGAAGGATTACTTTAGGTGACTGATATTATTAGGTTTGTGAATTTTGAGAAAATTGCTGAGTGATATAGTGAAGTAAGTTAATTTCTCTTGAAAATGTATTTGTAAAATGAACAACTGATTATCCTTTCTCACTATAGTACTTAGATTTGAGTTACATAAGAATGCATCTTGTTAAGTGCTGTTATGATGTAAAAGAAATGTATATTCATGAAGTAGTTGTAAACTGTAACACCATTTTATGCATTTTTTTTGTCATTAAAGTTGTCTGTTCTTAAATGGTATTCAGTTGTGAAGTGTAAGAGACTACAAAAGCTATGAAATACAAGTTAATAATTTAAAATAATACCAAAATTAAAGTATTCAACATCATTCATTTTTAATTGTTTTTATAAAATATTTTCAACAAATGTATTCTGTAAACAAATATTTTAGCAATAAAAATGTATTTTTTTCTTACTTTTTTTTAACAGAAAGGTAGTAATAGAAGTCAGTTTGATAGTCCAGAAAATTATGTGAGGTTTTTGTGTAACCCTGAGATGAGTTTAGACAAACTTCTCCGTGGTATTGAATCCTTGAGAATAGCCCTGACTAATAACCCTGTCAGGTAATACTCTGATGAATAAAGAAACTGTTATTAAGTTTTAGCTTTAAAAATCTAATAATAATAAAGTAGTCATAATTTTCTATTTCTTCACATTGAAAATTAAAATTTGTTTGCTTTATTATTAAGAACCTCTGATCAAAAGTAAGCCAACAACTTATATAAGTAATATACAAATTAGTGATGACTGTCCTGTGTAACAAACTGATTGGAAAAATATATATTTAACACACACACAAATTAAAAATACTTTTCCTACGTGTTATAACTGGTGTAACTTTAACTGACAGTTTTATACTTATTGAGTCCTTTGTCTCTTCCCCACTGGTAAACATGTGTGAAAGGAAATAGCTAATGTGAATAGCCACAAAAACAATCATTTTAAGCAAAAATCTATGGAAATTATGGCTTTGGTAAATGTTTTGGTGCAAGTTTAACTAATTAGAATTTTAATCTTTTGTCATTTTTTAGCTAAAACTTATTTATCCCCCCACCCCATAAGTTTTAATATTGGACAGTTTTTCTTTCTTTGAATAAATAAAGTCGTGGATCACTAAGAATTTTAGATAAATGGATATAAACTTCATTCTAAGAAGTGTATGTAAATAACATGAAAAAATAGGTGATTTTATAAGATGTGTTTACAATATCTTATACAGATTTCTTCAAAAATCTTTATATGTTTTGTTAAGTAACTCAACTAATTGAGGTGCTATAACTTGAACTTTCATAAAAGAGTATTATAGTACTTATTCTCATTGTTGAAATATTCACTGTTATCCTGGAAATATTATTTGTCATATGTTCATCTTATATACACTCCCATTCTGTGGTGGTGATTACACCAGGATATAATTTACATATTAAAGTTAATTCAAAAAGATAGAAGTTTTTGTATGGGTCAAGCATGATCTAGTGAGTAATTTGTATGCATGACCATTGCTGCAAAGTCATTCTATGCATTATATGAATGATGAGTGAATCCCAAGTGTAGATTCAGTGCCTTAAAATGAATTTCAGTTGTCGTAAAAGTATTTTTCTGTTTCAAATCTTGATAATTAGTTAAATGGACCTGACAGGCTCTTCCATAATTTTCAAGAACTAGAATAGAATGTACAACTTTCATTTTATTCTTACCAATAAGCTTGGTCTTTAACAGCTCAATAAAATGCATATGTCGTATTTGTCTTCTAGGAAGTATTTCAGAGGAAAAACATGCATAGTTTAGATGCAGAGTTGTTTTTTTTTTATGATTCTAACTCTATATATAAAATTTTGCTTTATAGACATGCAACTTTAATAATTTTTTTAATTTAAAAATAAATGTTTGTTAAAAAAATGACCCTATAATATGTTTTATATTAACAGCAATATGCCATATCTTATAACACCAAAAAATTAATACAAAAACTTGTATTAAAGAAAAAGTAGCTAAAAGGTGTTTATAGCAGTTTATAAAGTGAACTGAAGCTAAATTATTACAAAGTAAAGTTGTAATAAAGGCAAACATAGCTGAATGTGTAGAAATGTCTGAATGCGTGTTCACAAAGTGATTACCATATAGTTTTGAATGAACTGAGCATGCGTATTTTAGACATAAGTTGAGAAAGCCCATAGCAATTGTAATTAATGTAATATTTTTTTTCTTTTGGAAATTACAAGTGGGGTTAGTGTTTGTGTGAAATACTTTGCAAATAAAATAACTAAAGTTGAAATCTAGGCCAGTCGGTGATAACAATGACGTTGTGCCATCATGTAGCATATTCATTGCATTAAAAAGTTTGACTAAGCAAAAAACAGATGATTCTGAATGGAAAAACCAATATACAATCTGGACTCCTTGGACAAAGGCCTTTATAACAATATGAGATTTGTGACATTTGAGAAATTTGTGAGAAAAGTTCTGGACAGGCAGACAGAAATATGCAAGTATATTATTTATATAAATATAATAAGGTGCCTTACCATTTGAATAGGAACACCATCAAAACTATTGGTATTCTTCAAAATATCCATAATACTTCCACATCCATGATATACATAACTATACTAAACATGAAAGTGGCAAAACCACTAGTTACTGACGGGTATGTTTTTGCTTAGTTTTGTGCTTGTGTTTTATGGCAGCTGGATATCATTAATATCAACTCTGCAGCGAGACTGTTCATTTTATTATATCACAGCACTGTATATGCTAAAATAGAACAGATTCTGTTAATGTTTTAAGAAGTGTTTTTGTTTTTTAAGTTGGTTGGGAAGGACAAGTGCTACATTTTTAATCCTTTCATTATTTGTTTTGTCAGTATAGCTTACTACAAAGATTGAGAGAAACAATTTTCAGCACTTAATGTATTGTTTTCAGGAACTAAGAATTTTGATACTATTAAATGGAAAGTTATTTGTAACATATAAAAATTTATATGAATTTCAACATTTTTATTCAGTGGTTAATAATTGTGTATGAAGTATGATTATCAAGACAATTTAGGTTTATTTTTGTTTTAACTTTTCAGTTGGGTAGTGGAGTTTGGAAGCAATGGCTTGGATAAACTATTACAAATTCTGAATGCATGTTATGGCAGGTGAGCATACTGTTAACTTTCAAAATTGAGTGAAGAACTTAACAAATTATGCATGAAATTAAAGTATGAAGTTTGTGTAATTAATTCTCAAGCAGAAAAAATTTTTAACCACTCATTGTCAATGAATTTTTCTATTTTATTTTTCTTTATGCATAATGAGCTTTCTCAAAAATTGCATAAAAATATGCATCTAAAAGTAAAAATGTAGTAATACAAGACTTAAATCAATAAGAATAAATCAGTATAACAATTCACTGCAATTCTGAATACTCTTTATATAAATATTAAATTAATGAAATATTTTCAAAGCAAAGTATTTACTACCTTCTAATTATAAAATCTTGTTCCCAGTAGACCTACATAACCATTTTACAAACTATTGAAATATTTTTTTCTAATATATTTTGCTTTTTACTCTATCTTTTCATTTTCTTTTTTGTCATAGAGAAAACAAGTATGAAAAGATTCAGCATGAATGTATCAAGTGTCTCAAGGCAATAATGAACAACACAGTAAGTTAGAGCTTTCTTCCTTTATGATTACCTACAGTAATATTGGAGCATGTTTGAAAAAGTTTTATTAATATAGCCATATTAAGCTTACTCAGTGACTAGCTTTACTTTGTTTTCAGATATTTTAAAGAAGTACCCATCCTAACCATGTCTTAAACACCCTGATAGTTATTTTTAGTTTGTGAGTGTTCTATTAAATGTTTAAAGATTAGGTATAATTTAATAAAAAAAAAATTAAACAAAGATTACTTTTTTGTTGATTAAGTACCAAAATCTTGAGCTGTATTTCCAGTTTCTAAGAATTAGTAACTGTATAAGCAATAAAAAAATGTACCAAGGAATATATTTACTAGCTCAGTGCAGGCCAAGAACTTTGATCAAATTCCTAAAATTTTCATGTAAAAGTGAATATCTGTCATATCTGTGTTTGCAATAATGTTATGTATTTTTAAAATGATGTATGCATAAGAATTTTTGTATACAAATGACTAGCCAGAATTTGTTCAGAATTTTTTACTGATTTGAAATTACCAGCATAGCAATTCCACTTAAATTTGTTGTTTACCATATACTATTTCATTTTCTTGTAGGCTGGCTTGAAGCAGGTTTTCACACACAAAGATGCCCTCACTATATTAGCTCGTTCCATTAATTTCTCTCAGCCTAATATAATGGTGGATGCTGTCAAACTGATGGCTGCTGTGTGTTTAATTCCACCAAGTGGGTAAGTAGTGCATCAATACATCAGTGATACTTGAAAATATTATCTTTAACCTTTATTTTGAAAAGATCTTCACACCTGCCTTTAAACATGCACTGTTAAAGTGTAGCCTGATTAATTATCAAGTTGTAAGCATTTTGTATCAAATAGAAGCAATCTGCTGAAAGAAGAGCATGTTAGTAATAAAAAAACAAAACTCTTCAAAACCTTCTTAGTCTAATAAATGACATTTTTGTGTGCTTTATTATATTTTTATTTACATTTATGTTTTCTGTTTCTAGATTAGTTTAATCAAAACAGCGAGGATTACTGACAAAGACTACAACATTTAATTCTTGTAGCTCTGTATACCACTAGTTGCTTTCTCTTAACATTATTAAGTAATAAAGCTTTTTAACATAATGCTTTATGAACTACAGATGGCAGATT